TTCCAGGATCTGGTGAAGTTTAAAACAGTGCAAATAATATATAAAGCAAGGAAAGGGGATGCTCCCAATCAAAATAAGTAAATGGTTCTTAGAGAGAGAAGGGAGGTATAATTTTAGAGGGAAGTGGAATTTAAAAATACAAAGGGTAAGAACAACTTGGACAACAAGGATGTCTATTTCAATAGCGGGAGTTAAATTCTGGAATGAGTTAAAAGAAGAAATGAAGGTCAGTAGTGATATAAACCAGTAAAATAAAACTCAAAAAATAAATTTTAAATAAGTATAAGAATGAAGAAAATGCAATTAACCCAAGACAGCAGCAAAGTGATGTTTATTTTCCTTTGCAAAATAGTAAATCTAAACATAGTTTTAGTCGAATGTGAGAAAAGCTGAAACCATTGTATACGTTATTGTTGTTTAAATTTAGATGATGAGGAAATGATTAAGATGTAAACCTAAGGGGGTCGGGCTAAATAAATGTATACTTCTGTCTACTCCTTTTCAAACAACTGCATGGAATGATATTATGAAATGTTGGTGAATGTATATGTTTGAAATAAAAATGAACTGAACTGAACTGAACAGGTGTCATCCACATACCTAAACCAATGACTTGGTGGTGTTCCAGGGTAGGATAACAAAGCCCTCTTTTCCATTTTTGTCCATGTACAAGTTGGACACAATGGGTGAAACTGGGGAACCAATGGCACACCCATTTTTCTGTCTGTAGTACTGACCCTTGTATGTGAAATAGGTGGAGTGAAGACACAGTTCCAAAAGCAAACACATTTGGTCGGTCCTGAGAGTGGTCCTGTTGCTCAGGTTGGGGTCCTGTAATCTCCTATGAACCACCTCCAACGTTTTAGTGACTGGAACCCCAGATGGGGAAACAGGCAGTTAGCTGAGACTGAAGAAGTCATTTGGATAAGTGGCGAAATGTTTCTCCCACTGAAAATACTGAGTCCAGAATCAACTTTTTGGATAATATTAGTGTTATTATCTTTTTTTAAAATCTGAAATCATTTTGATGTTTCAGGAGAATCTGAGTTCTCACAGTGACCTTTCTGCCAGCAGCGACAGCCTGTCTGAAAACAAGGTGAGGCCCTGTAGCTGCTGTAGTGGCAGCAGAGATAATGTTATCTGGAATTACAGTGTACACATACAGCTCAGTGGTATATTTACCTGCAAAATTAGTTGTCTGACTTTGGGTAGAATAACCGAGCATGAGCATGCTGTTCGTGTCTGTTTCAGGAAAAAAAACAATGGTACAGCGGGATGTTAAAGAAGAGGTGGAAACCAACACAAAGTCTTCAAACTGATCAGGTAGAATCATCAAAAATACACATAAAACATACCAGATTATATGCACATGTATTGCGTAACTAGTCACACAATAGACATAAGGTTGCATGATTAGGTTACTGCTTCCATCACCTGATAATCAAATTGCACGCTCTTATTTTTTGGGCAGGACAATAAAGCAGACAGTAATTCTGAAGACCTAGAAGAAGAGGAGAAAACATCAGAGATGCCTCATGTAAGTTTTCTTATCTTTAGCAAATGAGGAAATTCTCTGCACAAGAGGATAGAGGCCGAGGGAGGGAGTTAGATAAGCTGCTATGGAGTTGTTTTTGTTCGGAAGCTCTAATTTTGTACATGCGTTTAGATCATCAATATCAATTCTCTTGTGTTTGTGGAAAGATGGAGATGTGTGGTCATCATCATGTTTTATCTGATCTATCTTAGGAAAAGGGAGGCTACTTGTTTGGTTTCCTTAAAAAGCCAAAAAAACCAGCCGCTGAGACGCCAACGCAGGTGAGCTTGCAACAGAACTGTTCAAAATAATAATTTAAATTGTTAAAATAATGGTTTAACTTTTAGGAAAACTTATTTGCGTTAGAAATACGTGGACAGAAATATTCATTTTAGTTTATCGGTATATTTTTTTTCCCTCT